ACACACACACTTCCGGGAAAAATCTGTAAGGCTGCTGCAGCAGATAGGACGTCACGCTTCTAAACAGTGAACCAAAACAGAAGGAAAACAAAAACCCAATCCAAAGAAACAACAAAGCTGGGTACCCAAAGGCTGGGTGAGATAAAATTCTGAGAAATAAACTGAACATCATATACATATTTATTGCAAAGTGTGCTAAAACTCTACTTTAAACACATAGGCACATTCCACCATTGAAGTATTGAACTAAGAAGTCCTGAATCTATACAACATGATACAGTTCTATATCTCTAGTTGGAAGTGCCTTCAACCAATAAAGGAGGACCAACAAATTAATATATTGAATGGGCATCTATCATCACCCCTGGATGGGATGGAAGGCGACATGGTATAGCTCAATCTCGTCAGATCTCAGGAGCTAAGCAGGGTCGATACTTGGATGGGAGACCACCAAAGGAGACTCTGCAGACAAAGGCCATGGCAGACCACCTCTGCTTCTCACTTGCCTCAGAAGCCCCATGCAGGGATCATCACGGAATCAAGCTGCAGCTTGACCAGCCCATGCATACATATGTTTAACCCCTTTACAGCCCGTCCATAACATTTTACTGCTTCCTAAGGGTTGGTTGATCAGATAATTGTTCCCTCCTCTCAAAACCTTGTAAGGGCAAAGGTACATGTCATTTTGATAGCCCCACACTTGACAAAAGGCATCAGGAAGAAAAGGCAGCAGAGAGAATTTCACAGGCTGGCTCACCACTTCTATTTGCCAGTGTGAGAGATCAGACTTACCTTGGCCGAAAGCATTGCCAAGAATGAGCGAAATAACCATCTGTGGTAACCATGGTGGTCCATCACCGGGAGACCTGGATCTACTTCCATCTGTCTCCAGGCCCCTCATTTGTGTCAGGGGGGAAAAGAGAGCAAGGAGAAGTCAGGAACAGGTTCTGCGCAGCTCTCCCATCACACAGTCTTTTGAGTAATTTAAAGATCATGGTGGCATTCTTTATTAAGCAAACAAATTCAAACCTGCGGCAGAAAAACAGGTTGGCTTTGAGGCATTCCTTTGTATGAGTGGAGCAGGCGGCTGGCCGATACCCAACTTTGTGCCATTCTTGAGGATGACTCACACACAAGCATCATCCGAGAACAGGTGGAAACATGGCCGTATACCTGCCCCTTTCCCCGCACAAGCTACTAAAACAGCCTCTGGACTTTTTGCAAGAAGTTAAAGAGGACCAATTTATATCCTGCACACTTCCCCCATCTCCAGTTCCAGCTGCAACCCTGGACAGATCATTTCCCCTCTCTTCCATCTGTTTAACTTCTTCTGTACCCACCAACTTTTGGTAACTTCCACATAGGGTCGCCAGCTCTGGGTTGGGAAATGGCTGGAGATTTGGGCGGTGGAGGGTAACCAAAAAGGTTGGAACAAAGTAAAAGAGAAGTAAAAGATAACTAAGCACATACTGCAAATGCATGCACACAAAAGCTTATACCCAGAATTAAACTTTGTTATTATTTATTTATTTATTTATTTAATTTCTACCCCCACCCCCACCCTCCCTGCCATGGCAGGCTCAGGGCGGCTTACATGGAATAATGAACGGCTAAAACAAATGTAGATAAAAACATAAACAGTATAAATATAAAAACCATTACAAAATGCTAGTGCTAGAAGGGTTCATATACGATGGCGGACATAAGCAGCATCCAACAAAACAATCAGCTGCCATCATAGCCTGGGTTATGCAGGCTGTTAATATTGATGTTAATATTGTTAATATTGGGGCCAGGGCCTCAATTTGTACAATGTGGCTCCCTAGTCGAAGGCCTGGTGGAAGAGCTCCATCTCACAGGGCCTGAGGAATTGTAAAAGGTCCCGCAGGGCCATGATGTCTTCCGGGAGCTTGTTCCACCACTGCGGAGCCGCCACTGAAAAGGCCCTGGCCCTCATCACAGCCAGCTAGCTTTTCTGGGGCTGGGCAGAGCCAGATGATTTTGGGATGCCGATCGTAGTGCTTTCTGGGGAACATGTGGGGAAAGGCGGTCCCTTAGGTATGTAGGTCCCTGACCATATAGGGCTTTAAAGGTGAGAACTGGCCTCAAAGGTGCCACTGGACTCAAACTTTGTCCTGTTAGCAGTTAATAGTTTGTCTCCATGCAGTTGAAGCTGAGCTTTGCTTATCAAGAGGAAAAGGTGGACCTGGATAGTTGTGTGTATTTTCAGTTTGGCTGCCCCAGCTTCATCCCATGCCGCTCTTGCTCGAAAGAGTTCACATAAACTACTATATCCATTCTCTGGTTTCATACCTGGGTTAGGGGTCAATCTTAATTTCACAGGAACATCCTCTGCTGGGTTGGAATATGTGGATGCTTGAGAGACACAGAGAGAGAGGGAGAGGGAGGGAGGGAATCTTTCCCCCCCAAAGTAGGTGCAGGGGAGCATTTTTGGTTAGGTAAAACTGCAGGGTTGGGAAGGTTTACGTCAGCTCCCCCATACAACACCAAACGAACACCTGAAATTTAAAAACTACCAAGAAGATCCAGTCACAGATCTCCCACTATCTTGCCTGTTTTCATCTACAGGGGAAGCATAAAGCCCCATTTTTCTCCCTCCTTTATCCATGCTTCTGGGGGCCAGCACACAATCCTGCTTTTATTAGTTTCTTGCCCTGAACCAAATCAACCCAGCACGCTCCAGTTCTGTGTTCACAATTGTATTTGTGAATTTTCTGCATAGTCACAGATCTCCCACTATCTTGCCTGTTTTCATCCACAGGGGAAGCATAAAGCCCTATTTTTCTCCCTCCTTTATCCATGTTTCTGGGGGCCAGCACACAATCCTGCTTTTATTAGTTTCTTGCCCTGAACCAAATCAACCCAGCACACTCCAGTTCTGTGTTCTGTTTTCTGCATTGTGAATTTTCTGCATTGTGAATTTTCTGCATTGTGCAGGTGGTTGATGACCCTGGAGGTCCCTCCCAACTCTATGATTCTATGAAACTTTAAGACTCCATCTTTTCAAGTACTGGGGGAAATTTCTGTTCTTAACAGCCCACGTGTGTAAACAAGAACGATGGCTGTAGTATGTGAAGGGGTGACTAGGGCTGTATATATTTCTGGCCCTGACCTGGCTGGCCCAGGCTAGCCCGATCTCATCAGATCTCAAAAGCTAAGCAGGGTTGTCCTTGGTTAGTATTTGGATGGAAGGCCACCAGGGAAGTCCCAGGTCACTACGCAGAGGAAGGCAATGGCAAACCACCACCTCTGTTAGTCTTCTGTCTTGAAAACCCCACGGGGTCACCATGAGTCTGCTGCAACTTGATGACACTTCACACACACACAAACACACAGTTCAGAATTTGGAATTGAAAACTTTTCAAGATTTTTCTTTTTCAAAAATGGTGACATTTTGGAAGGCAGGGGAAGTGAGGACGAATAAACCCTCAGTCAGGAACGAGGGAAATCCGGGCCCTGCGGGACCTAGTGCAGTTCCGCAGGGCCTGCAAGACGGAGCTCTTCCACCAGGCCTTTGGGTAGGAGCCGCCGCCACCACCATCGCTATACCACCTCCGATGTACCATCCACCTACCAGATTCCATGGAGGTGGATTAGTTTGATTGCGTTGGGGCGCTCCCACTATTAAGATCGTGGGCCGCAAATATGAGTCGCTGAGCATCTTGTATAATGTATAGATTTGTATAGATTTGAAGCACCAGTTTTATTGCATATGTAAAATTGTTTTATTGTTTTACTATTTTAAACATTGTTGTTAGCCGCCCTGAGCCACTGGGTAGGGCGGGATAGAAATTGCAAAATAAATAAATAAATAAATAAATGGCTATGGAGGGATGTTCTCTATGCCACAGGGAAGTATTACAAGAAGAGATCTGTTGGGTTTTTTTTACAAATAATATAAAGTGCTTGTTTTAATGACGCAAAACTCCATCAAGTCAAGTGAACTATGCCAGAATTAGCATTATTTGCATTACAAGAAGAGATCTGTTGGGTTTTTTACAAATAATGTAAAGTGCTTGTTTTAATGACGCAAAACTACTCCATCAAGTCAAGGTAGCTATGCCAGAATTAGCGTTATTTGCCATAGGCTAGTTTCTTTAACATTCTTCTTTGCCTTTTCCTTTTTACTAAACTCATGAAAAGTATTCTCTCAGCTGCAGGTGTTGCTACATCTTGTTTCATTGTTTCAGTTCATGGAAGTTTTAGAATGCGTTTTCTGTGATTTCCAATATTGGAATTTATATCGTACTGAGTTTCTTGAGCTGTTAGTTGTATCAACCACAGAGAAGCAGCAAACAGAGCCATAGACAAATGCTCACGCAGTGCTCGACATAAAAATTCATTCAATGCTCAACTGCTGCTTACCACTTTCCATGAAAATTAGAATTATGAAAATGAAACACACACGTGCCAATTTGCTGGATGCACTTATGCTATCCACACCCATGTCCTGGGGAAATGAGGCCTTCTGGACCCTCCATATAATCATCCACACATGCACCCCTTTCTCCTGCTTGAAACTTTGGATATAGATCTGCCCACTGGACTGAATCCTTAATAATAATAAGTCGTAGCGCCGCACTGCCACCACCTGGCCGGATTGGCCCATCACAGGCTTCTTAATGCCAAAGAGGTCTTTTTTCCAGGTTTACGAGCTGGACATTCCATTCGCCAGCTAACACCTCCCCTACGAGGGTTTAGTGTGCCCACCCTCTCTAAGGAATGGTACCCATTTTATCTACTCGCTGGGGACAAGGCTGGTAGCTCACACCAGCGCGGGCTAGAACTGACAGCAACTCTGTTCAGTTCAGATGTTAACCAGAGGATAAATCCTCTGTGCCACTGCTCCAATGTGCTACATGACTGTCATTCCGGCCACAGCAAATTAACACAGTTACTGTTCCGAAATAAATGACACAGGTTTTTATTAGTATTGTTTAAAAATACTTTATTAGCTTTTCCCTATACACCACGCTGAAGATAGGGATACATAAGTGACTCCCATGAATTTCTCTTCGGACTTTCCTGAGTGTCTTATTCTTGAAAAACAGTTATCACCTGTCTGGTTCCCTATGTACATTGTTACCCTTGCGGTCTCAGATCAAAATAAGCACATCTGGATCCCTAACTTAATGAGGACTAGCAGCTCTAGAATCCGGTCACAGGCACCTGCTGTTAGGAATGAAGACAACACTAGAGACGTTAGTAGTTCCGGAATATATTAGCTTCTCTTTAATTCCAGTGCAATGGCATAGGTTTGGCCCAACAGAAATGGTAGATGTTGTCTTTTGGTTCACCCAATCAGGAGAACGGAATGATGTCGTGAGGACCCATGACCAATCAGCAGCAAGAGGAAAAAGAAACCCCCGTACCAATACAAAGTACGTCTTGGACCCCAGCAGATTTAAGATTCTGCTCCTCTACAGCAGAAGAGAATGGACGCCGTGTATCATGTCCCACCAGGAGATTTACCTAATTTATCAACGTATGCCTTGCGAGAGTTAACAGCTGCCCTGCATATTTGTCCACCGCAGACCTGAACTTTACAAAGTCCTGTAGTCAAGCAGACAGCCAGGGCTGGGGGACTGGAAACATTCAAGCCAAGCTGCGCCTGTGAAGAATGGAGGCTACCAGGGAAGCTCCTTCATCACCACTGCTTATCCCTTCCCCTAATTGTTTTGCATCAGTCACAACGGGGAAAGGGAGAAAAACTAAATGTACAGCTTGCCCTCCACCGTATCAGAGGGAGCGCTAAAATGATGGGCTGGTTCCTCCCATCTAAGACCCCTTCTATTTCAGACACCGTGGCCGGTTGCTAGATTTGTCGCAGATGGGGTGGCCTTCAAGTTCCTGCTGTCTCTGGGTCCCCATGCAAGCGGCATTAGCATCTGCCAGGACAAACCCAGCCTCCAAACTCCTTCTCCAAGTACCGTGCCATGGCCAGGGTCAAGTGGTCATTGTGAGGGCCGGCCACCACCTGGATGCCCAGGGGAAGGCCTTCTTTGCTCAAGCCCAGGGGGCACTGGGTTACCGGTAAGCCAAGTATGTTGAAGATGGCTGAAAGAGAGAGAGAGAGAGAGAGAATTGAAAGAAGCAGACTCAAGGCACATCTCTAATACACAGAACAATCCATCATGTTTTACTCCACTGTTGCCTGGGAAACAATCTTTGACATTTTGGAACTTGTTAGGATGTGATTTTAGAAGGTAAGTGCACTACAGATAAGCAAGTAGAAGGATATTCATTTCCTTCATTTATACCCTGCCTTTTGGTTAGGAACACGGACTCTAATCTGGCAGAACCGAGTTTGATTCCCCACTTCTCTGCATGCGGCTGCTGGTGTGATCTTGGGTCAGTTACAAGTTCTTTCAGAACTGTTCTGGAAAGAGCAGTTCTTGAAAGAGCTCTCTCAGCCCCACCTATCTCACAGGCAGTGTTCCCTCTAAGCAGAGTTAGTGTGAGCTAGCGCACAGTTTTTTAGCCTCCAGCTCACACATTTTTGTCTTAGCTCATTAAGGATGGCTCCAGAGCAAATTAATTTATGCAGTAGCCAAATCGCTCACTCAAAACTTTAATGCCAGTAGCTCACAAAATAGAATTTTTGCTCACAAGACTCCACAGCTTAGAGGGAGCATTGCTCACAGGGTGTCTGTTGTGGGGAGGGGAAGGGAAAGGAGATTGTAATGGTCGGGGACCAGCATACCTAAGGCACCGCCTTTCCTCATATGTTCCCCCGCGAGCACTACGGTCAGAGACGTAATACCTCCTGGCGATGCCAGGCCCCAAAGAGGCCAGGCTGGCCGCTACCAGGGCCAGGGCTTTCTCGGTGGCGGCTCCTACCCGGTGGAACGAGCTCCCGGAGGAGATCCGGGACCTGCGGGACCTTGCACAGTTCCGCAGGGCCTGTAAGACGGAGCTCTTCCGCCAGGTGTATGAGTAGGAGCCGCCACTACCATCATTATTGTTCCATCATAGCCTGGCCCTGGAATAAGGAACATCAGCGTTCTCCGGAAGAGATGACGCTGAACTGACAGAGCAGTTGTAATCCGCAACCCGGGGAGGGCGGGGTATAAATTGAATCTATAAATAAATAAATAAACCGCTCTGAGACTCCTTCGGGTAGTGATCCAATCTCGTCTTCTTCTACTTTCCCAATGGGGACTCAAAGAAACCTACAACATTTCCCTCTCCTCCATGTCATCCTTGAAACAACCTGATGAGGGAGATTAGGCTGAGGCGGTCAGACTGGCCCAGGGTCACCCACAGCAAGATTCTGTGGCAGAGAGGGGGCTCAAACCCGGGTCTCCCAAATCCCGTCTTGACTCTCTAACCACTACACTACACTTGCTCCCAAGTCCTGGACCGAGACTCCAACCACAACACTGTGCTTGCTCTAACTACCCAAGTATTCACAGAATTCTGGGGGATAAGCAAAACCCCAGAGCCACAGACTAGGGTCACAGGACCATTAAGGCCCCAGGGCAAAGATGCATCATGCTGGCTTGAGATACAAGTATTGTGTGACTGAGCTCTATTGCACATAGAGATGAAAGGAGGCATGGCAAATCTGCAAGGCTTGGGGAGAGGAGGAGAACAGTGATGGGATTGACCTCATCCTGCTGTACGCAGGGGGCTGCCAGAATCACATAAGCATCAGCTGCCCCCCCCCAGAAAAGACCCCAGGAACATCTCAATACACATTAAAATGATTTCCTCCACCCTCCGGGTCTCCTGGATAAAGACAATATCAAGAGCAGATAAAAATGTCCTGGTGTCCTCACAGAGGACCAACCTGCCACATTCACATTCCAGCTTCACATTCTCACGGAAGGAGACGGTCAAGCCAAGGACTGAGTAATTTGGCCAACACTGGGGTTAAGAGAAGGGATTATAACTGTAGGTTCCGGGGGAACGTAAGGGGGGCATGTTCATATGTAGAAAACTCTCCATATGGGGGAAGTTTCACAGGAGGAGGAGTTTTTTTGCTGGGCAGTAGCCTCCCTCATAGGATTAGTTTGGGACCAGGGGGGCATGTTCATATGTAGAAAACTCTCTATATGGGGGAAGTTTCACAGGAGGAGTTTTTTTTTTTTTGCTGGGCAGTAGCCTCCCTTATAGGATTAGTTTGGGACCGGATTTCCAGTTCTAACAATTCATTGTTAGAATTCTTTTCTGCAGGAACAGGGTGAACTGACCTTCCCTGACCATGGCTTGCCTGATTCTTAGTACTCAGCTTCAAATTTTCTTTTAAGATTCTCTAGGCCGTCAGTGATATCAATCCGTTCCACTTTGGGCAAGACACAAAAGGACTGCAGCAGGTTGGTGTCTGTTAGGGTCACAACAAGCCGTTTCTTATTATCCACAACTGAATTCCTAGTTGTTGGGATCAGGCTTGGACGTGAGTCTTTTCTTACTGGGGATAGATCGATTACAGGTCGTGTGTGGTTAGGACGCTGTGGAAGGTCAGTAGTTCAGCAGTTCGAGACCCGGGTGCCGCATGACGGAGTGAGCTCCCGTCTCTAGTTCCAGCTCCTGCCAACCTAGCAGTTCGAAAGCAAGACATTGCAAGTAGATAAATAGGTACCACTTCAGGGGGAAGGTAACAGCGTTCCGTGCGCCTTGGTGTTTAGTCATGCCGGCCACATGACCACGGAAACGTCTTTGGACAGCGCTGGCTCTTCGGCTTTTGACACGGAGATAAGCACCGCAACCCTAGAGTTGGACTCGACTGGCTTTCGAGCAAGGGAACCCTTTACCTTTACCTTTTTATAATACCTAGAGGTAGTTTAATTCAAATGAATACATTTAAGGTGCTTTGGTTTAAGGAGGCCAAGGACGGGGTCCAAAGGGTCAGAGGCCTTTTGAAGGCACTGCTGATTCTGCACCAAAAAGAGGAATTCCTTACCTGTGTAGGCAAAATTGAAGGGCATTCCCAGAGGCGCATGGTGCTTGGGAGCGACCACGGGGTGCGAAGGGTACAGGAAAACGCCATCGTCCTGGAGCAGATTCACGAGCTCTGTCCGCAGGCTGTGCCCCATGCTCTCCAGCTTAGAGTTCACTTTGGGGCTGTAGTGCACAAACTTCTCACTTATCCCTAGCGCTAAGGAGAAGGAATTCAAAGACACAGGCCGGTTAAGACGGGGATGAAAGTACAAACCGTTCAAGACAAGACATACTGTGGTTCTACTGGATCCAAGAATGCATGTCCAAAAGTTTGAATGTACAACAGAACAGAAACCTTTATTGGCAAGGAAAAGTTTAAAGGGTAGTACAAGAACAACATCAACCAATATTCCCGATATTCCAAAATACAAGACAATCCTAACATGATTTACAAGAATTACAGAGTATTACTCTTGACTTCCATACGTAGGTCAAAAATTCAGCGACAGATAGTGTTATTGCTGGGCTCTTGCCTGCTAAAAAAACCCCTTTAAATCCTTGTCCAGAAAATCTCTCTGCGAAGGGAGAAAAGGGCGAATCAAGATATTGCGCATAACGGAGTATTTGGGACAGCGGAGAAGGATATGGGTAATAGAGTTAGGTTCCCCAAGATTACAGTTACAAAGTCTATCCCTGTACGGAAGTTTGAATGTAATGGCCTGGAGGATTCAAGGAGCTTCAGGAAAGTTCCGCTGCTGGGGAAGGGCCGTGGCTCAGTGGCAGAGCATCCAGCGGGTGGTCCCAGGGTCAATCCCTGGCATCTCCGTTAAAGGACCTGGCACTGAGTTATGGGAAGGACCCTGGAGAGCCACTGCCAGTCTGAGCGGGCAACACCGACTTTGATGGACCAAAGATCTGATTCGGTATAAGGCAGCTTTGTGTATTCACTGTCAATAGAAGGGACAGAAACACTGGATCTGAACCAACTCGTGGGCACTCCATGAAATTGCTGAGCGGTCGGGTTAGGACGGATAAAAGGAAGTACTTCTTCACCCAAAGAGTGATTAACACTTGGAATTCACTGCCACGGGAAGTGGTGGCAGCTACAAGCATGGACGGCTTCAAAAGGGAATTAGATAAGCATATGGAGCAGAGGTCCATCAGTGGCTATTAGCCACAAGGTATAGATAGGGGCTCTGGGGCAAGTGATGCTCTGTCATCTTGGTGCTTGGGGGGGGGGTCAACAGTGGGAGGGCTTCTAATGTCCTGGCCCCACTGGTGGACCTCCTGATGGCCCTGGTATTTCTGGCCACTGTGTGATACAGAGTGTTGGACTGGATGGGCCTTTGGCCTGATCCAACATTGGCGTCTCTTATGTTCTAATGTTCATCTGTGAATGGTGTGTGTGTGTGTCAGAATACTCTTGGCTCCTGAGCTGCTTTGCTCATGGGGCTGCTGCATTCATCTCTAAGCACAGGTCTCCTGTGCGGTGTCATGGCTGAATGTGGGTCTGGGAGCCCCAGGTTCAAATCCCCTCTCTGCATCAGAAGATCTCAGAGCGACTCTGGGCTAGGCGACTTCCTCTCAGCCCAGCCTACTGCACAGGGTGCTGGTTATGAGAATAAAACGCAGGACGGGAGAAGGGTGCTGTGATCATCTTTAGGGTTCTCCCTCACTGGGGAGAAAAGCAGGGTATAAATCTCTAAATAAATACAACAATCCAAAGTAGGAATCCTTAATCATGGTCCACAGAAGCCCGGGGGCGGGGAGATGAGTGGAGCAGCAAGTTGAGTTTGTGCCCAATCTCGGCTTCACTGGAGCATGTTGTAACACCGGAAGCCAGACACAAATTCCCTACCATGGAGAGCCTAGACTGTCAGTATAACAGTCCTACCTCCATGGCTATGGTGCCACCTTTGGGTCATGAGTATTACTACAGGATATAACGAATAAGTAGGTTCTCAATGAAATCTCCCTAGAAGCTAAAATGACTAAACTGAGGCTATCATACTTTGGTTGCATTATGAGAAGACAAGACTCACTGGAAAAGACAATAATGCTAGGAAACGTTGAAGGCAGCAGCGAAAGAGGAAGACTGGACATGAGATGGATTGACAAACAAGGACGCCACAAAGGCCCTCATTTTGCAAGACCTCAGCAAGGCTGTCAATAATTGGACTTTTGAAGGTCATTAATTCATAGGGTCACCATACGTCAGAAGCGATCTGATAACACTTAACACACACACGTACTACTAATCCAAAGTTACATCAATAGCTACCAAGGACAAAATGAACATTTGTATCATGGATGACAGTTGAAAGCAATGGAAAAACACAACCATCAAATGGCCTCTTGATGAAATGCAACATTACCAATGGCTGGAAAAGTGTGTGAAGACATCCCCACTGTCCATTTCAAGAGCTCCCACACTGGCCACACTGGCTTCCCGTGATCTCCAAGCAGGTCAGTGAAGTTCTGATTTTTCTGCAAGTAACATGCATTAAGAAGTGAGAGGGAGACAGAATCCGGGAAACACTTCCTCCTTGTGTCCCCATCACTAGTATTTTCTGTAAGGTGATTTGGTAGAGACAGACGGCAGCCTCTCTCACTTTACTGAGCACAGTGATGAACCTTCCATGGTGAAGGATGAGCTGCAGGAGCAGCCAATGAAAAACCTAAGCCTTTGGGTCACAAACTGTGTTGCAGGTAACCTTGGGATCCCCTTGGAATCTTACCAGGGTTGCTTCCCCATGGAGCTGAGTCTCTGTGCAGCTCATATTGCTGCTGCTAATGCAGATGGCAACAGAGCATCCCAAGGAAAGTTTCCCCTGCACCTTCCTTGCTTCCGTCCTCTGTGGCTGGAATTACTTACCCTGCCACCAGAGAACTTTTGTTAGCTTTCATTTTTTCAAAAAACTAACTTGCTAGACCTTTTGGTTGCAGAGCTATAAACTGCAGCCAGGACCTTTCCCGATATAACTCTGCAACCAGAAAGGCTAGAGGCATTTTTTAAAAAAAGCTGGGAATGACTAGATTGTTGCAGTAGGTCACTATAACATTATTACATTATAAGAAGATCCCCTATTCTGAAGGCTGTGCACATGTTCGTTAAAAGAGATCAAGTCCACAGAGCATATGTTTTTTAGCCACCCATATTATAGGATGGCTCGTGAGGAGATCATTACTCCATTATTGGATAAGATTCTCGGTTTTACTGAAAAAGCTAAGCTTGATTCTCTTTTATGCAATGCGAACCCTAAAATTAGGTGCCAAGTAGCCAAATACTGTGTGTTGATACTTAGGCTACAGAAATTGTATTGTAACCAGGCTTAAGTTTTATTAGATCATGTTTTATCCTATAAATGTTGTTTATAATGTAAATTGTAAAACTGATTATATGTTTGGTCAAATGACTGTAACAATAAATAAACTAAAAATGTTATTACACTCAAGAGATAACTATTACCCTCTGGAAAACACTCCAGGAAAAGGTGGGGAAAATGGCTGCCACAGGGACTTAGTTACGGAAAATGGTGCCGATGGGCATGACCTGAAAAAAAAATGGGCGCCTTCCTGTTCACATGACACGTGAAGTCATTTTGTCTTGAACCAGGCGTGGGAAAGATAGCAGCAAAGTGGTGAAAAAACACAGAAACAGGTCAAAAAGAGGGTGACATCGTGTGGATGATCCTGAAAACAGCACCGCAGTAAGAAAGCCCTAGCAGAGGAAAACTTCTATGTGGAACAGCCCAGAGTTTAACATGAACATAAGAAACTGCGTTCTACCAAGTCAGACTGTAGCTGAGTCTACTGACTGGCAGTGGCTCAGGTAGAGAAAGGTCTTTCCTACACTTGGCACCCAAGATCCTTTGGTTTTCAGTGCCAGAAACTGAACCTGGGATCTTCCCTATGGAAAGCCTGTGTTGTACAACTGAACCAGACCGGTAACGGCGGACAAGTATCCTTGAAAGACAGGTTGCCCGTCACAACTGATCTTCTCCAGCAATGTGCAGGGAGTGTCTATGGTGCACTCTCGGTGCACTGTGGGATGACAGTGAGGTTCCGCAGACTTGACCAGTGCTCTGGGTGAACTGGCTGCACCCTAGTAAGCTGATTTGGGAAAGGCTCTCTGGAAGTGCGAGTAAACCACTGACTCAAGCATTTCTTGTCACCAACAGCACAGGGGCAGTGACTTTCCACTGCAAGAGGTATGCGTCTTTTTCACCTGCATGTCGCTGGACTTGGCAGACATCATGACCGACCAGATCTGAAGCGAATACTTCATCTTGCTGATAGCCACGTGTTGAACTTCAACTCCCAGCTTAGCTTCCAGGTTTTCTACCACCTGAAAATGGGGGGGGGGGGGGGGAAGGGAAAAT